GGTTTGTCTGCTTTTTGGGTTTTTTTCTCTCAGTCTGATGCACCCGTATCAATTTCAGGCGAAATATGGCCACTATTAAGCTGACTCGCTGCAGCACGGCAGCCCAAAAATATGAACTATCAATAATTTCATGTCAATAAATTATCGTGATTCTGAGACCACACACTTTTCACGTTGCAACCGGAACACCCCAACTGTGCTCGGCATTGTAGGAACGTTTGCAGCTTGAGCGCACACCCCAAAGGCCTCGCTGCAGGTCTGTTTATGTGACATGTTATGTACACACAAAATTGAACATGTCTCTGATCACACGTCTTGTTTATATTTTCACCCCCCCCCCTCTCCCCTTTTCCACCTGCCTAACACAGCTCCCTTTCAGCAGTGTAGCAGTCTTAATGTGAAAAAAGAATTTCAGGAAGACCCACCGGCGTGAGTTTGAAAAAGAAAACAAAACAAACAAATAAAAGGATTTTAAAAAAAAGATATCTGTTGCTGTTTGAAGAGTATGGCAAGGAATTTTGCCTCTAAAAGAATGATGAAATAGGGGATTTCACTTGAAAGGTCCCCCCCCCCTCCCCCACCTCTCTTTTTTCACTGGTTATCTCATACACATACACACCAACTGAACTCGCGCAAGCACACTCACTCGCACACATACACACACACACACACACGTATGTGCACGCACGCACGAACACACACACACACACACACACACACACACACACACACACACACACACACATGCACAAAGCACACACACAAAATGCGCGGCGGTAGTGTAGACATTATTATGCTTATTTATATACATAATTATGGCTGCGCATCATAGCGTTATGAAAAGCTAAATGTGAAACAAAAAACTTGTAAACAAAATGGCGGAAAGGTTACGCAGTCTCCATATTTGTCTACCTCCTTGTTTTTTCCGAATGATCCGCAAACCGAACGCAGAATTGCATTTATTATAAAATTTAACAATCTGATGAGTGAAGACCTGAGGACCTAAGGAGCAATCGATAACGTGGTAAGAAATCTCATATCAAATCACGTTCTTAATAAGTAGTCGTGCTTTGTCAATATGATAATTATAGACTATTGAAGGGAATTGAGACAAGAAACAAAACATACTTTATTACCTTACATGAGAGCTGTAAAGAAAGGTAATGTGTCTGTCTGCACGAATTTACGAATTTACGAAGTATTTTATTTTTGTCAGCCTATAGATACGAATGGGGTTACAACTAGGACACCACGAATGTCCTATATCTTATTGATCATGTTCAAGCCCACCGTTTGACTAAATTACTTTGAATGGTCTAGAAAAAAGCTAGTCACTAGAGATTAAATTTTAATAATTATTATTGTAAAAATCTTGTTTTTGTTAATGGCTTCGTCCTAAATCGTCATATTGTGTTGTAATCAAATTTAAAATGAGTTTTGCAATAATTTTTAAAAATTATAATGTACTGATCATCTAAAATTGTAACGTTAAGTACATAAAAAAGTAGACTGTCTAACTAAAGCAAAGGAACTGCGTTGGATAAGTAAGCTTAACGTAAAAGAAACAACAGTACCAACAGAAGAAAGGACATCATCGTAGTCATTATCTATATCATCATCATCATCATCATCATCATCATCATCATCATCATCATCATCATCATCATCATCATCATCATCATCATCATCATCATCATCATCCTTCACCCGCTCTCCGCGCTCTTTATCTTTTCCCATCTTCTCCTCCCCCTCTGCTTCCTCCCC